TTCATTGATTTAAAGAAGGCCTTTGATTCTGTTGAGACGGAAGCGGTCATGGAAGCCCTAGCCAATCAGGGCATACAAACTCAATACATCAGGATCCTTCGTGAGCTCTATTGCGGATTCACTACCAAAATCGCACCATTCTACAAAGAAGTAATCATCCATATCAAGAGAGGGGTTCGGCAGGGTGATACCATTTCACCAAAACTCTTCAGTGCCACCCTCGAGAACATCATGCGACGATGGAATGGGAAAACATGGGAGTGAAGATAGATGGTCGGCAACTACACCACCTCTGCTTTGCTGATGACATCGTTCTAATAACACCAAACATCAGCCAAGCGGCACAAATGCTGAACGAATTTGACCGTGAATGTGGAAAGGTCGGACTACAGCTGAATCTTACGAAGACAATGTTTATGAGAAACAGCCTTGTTCCTGACGCTCCATTCGCTCTCAACGGAACCACCATCTCCGAATGCAATGGTTATATATACCTAGGTCGAGAAATCAACATGATGAATGACCTGGCACCTGAGTTGCGCAGGAGGAAGAGAGCGGCTTGGAATGCCTTCAAGAGCATGGAAGAAATAACTAAAAGGACAAAGAACCTCCAGCTACGAACACATCTCTTTGATTCCACTATTCTTCCTGCATTAACATATGCCTCAGAGACCTGGACCCTACGAAAACAGGATGAGAACGCTATTCGTGTCTCTCAAAGAGGAATCGAAAGCACTATGCTTGGAATATCACGATTCACTCAAATGAGAGATAGAATCCGGAGTTCTGATCTTCGTCAACACTCAAGAATCAGGGACGCTGTCTCATTTGCCAAGACATCAAAAATCAGATGGGCTGGACACGTAATGAGGTTTACAGACAACCGCTGGACTAGAGCCATTACTGATTGGATTCCACGAGACATCAAAAGATCACGTGGACGCCCACCTTTAAGATGGTCAGACTTCTTCGTCAAGACCCTAAATGATCGGTTTGAGGCTCTGCATGTTCCTAGAACGAACAGATACCATTGGGCTACGCTAGCACACAACCGGGATGAATGGAGACATTACTGGCACCCGCTCGAATAAATCGATGAATAATGGGGATTAAGTGATTAAGTGATAAGTGATTTATTTGTTTGCTTTGCTTTGGTTTTTGCTTGGGGCCTCACCTGATGATGCTCAGGGGTTACTCTTGGGGGTCCTCAGGGGTCCATATTTGACTCTTTGATGCCAGGGAAGCACCTTCCCAATATACTATCTATCTGGCTCCCGGAGTTTTTCTTTTTTAAATATTGTCTTTTTCTGAAAGGTTGTGTTTTGTTTGCAAATATGATTTTATATGTTTTGTTTACTATCTTTTTTTCCCCTTTATTTTATTTTATTTTTTTTAAAGTTGTAGATTTACAATTTTTTGTGCTTTGGTTTCAATTATACAATGATCAGATACCCATCCCTCCACCAGTGCCCGTTTTCCACCACCATGGATAATATCCCTCCCACCCCCATCCCCCCATCCCCCCTGTCTCTGTGGCAGGGCAATCCCCTGTGTTCTCTCTCTCCTTTTGGGTGTTGTGGTCTGCAAAAGAGGCATTGAGTGGCAAACATGTTCAGTCCATAGTCTACTTTTGACATGCATCTCCCCTCCTGGGAGGATCCTCCAAACATCCTTTATTTGGTGCTCCCTTTTCTATCTGAACTGCCCTTTCCTCTAGGATACCCGGCTGGCCTCTAAGTTATGGAGTAATCCTCCTGGTGCTGATCTCAGCTATTCTTGGGTATTAATCTCATACTTTGTTACTTTGACAGAGGCCCAGCTCTGGGCAACAAAGCTGAACGGCTCCAATTCCAACAGGTACAGCCCGCCCCCAAGGGCCTGGGTTCCTCTCTGGGCACGCGCAGCTAGAAACAGCCCCTAGACAGCCGGTTTTCAACCCCTGATCTGCGTGGGACGGGCACAGAGGCCCAGCTCTGGGCAACAAAGCTGAACGGCTCCAATTCCAAACAGGAGACATTCCCAACTCCTCGCCCAGTGCCAGGGACTTTTTCCGGAGCCGCGGCCGCGTTATGCCATAGGAACCATATCCCACTAAATATGCATAGGAACCATAAGCTAACTTCTTAGATGGAAACTTCTCTATTTTAGCTCAGCCACTAGAAACACAGTAGCCAATAACTCATAAGTCTATCTTAACTCACACTGCATATCAAGCAGAATAGTAACAGTGAACGTGAAGGACTAAACCACACCTCTCACAATGGTAAAGCAACGCAAAAGCCCACCAAACTTTGTTTACTATCTTTATGACAGGGAGCACTTCTGAAAAATTTCTCTTTCAAAGTGTCAGGTTGGCTCTTAGGGGTGCCCGGGCCAGAACTCTGGCTCTTTCTTCTGTGGGGTGAGGTTTCTCCATGCTGAGTCCCTTAAGATAATCTGTAGACCCAAAAGCATTGATTTATTTGAGTTTTCACCCAGATGTTTTTCCTATGGCACATTCTTCACTGGAAATAGGGAAAATTGGGCATGGCTAGAGTTCTGGCAGGCCGAGTGGGGACCCCCCCCAAGTGTGTAACCACCACCTAGAGTGTGCGACCCTCAGCCTCAGCAAGAAAGGGAAGGAAAGGGAAAATAAATAGCGGAATGAAGGGGAAGATGCAAGGGGGAAACACATCAGATTGATAATGTCTTCTAAAAACGGCATACTGGACCAGAGAGATAGTAATGTGGGTAGGGCACTTGCCTTGTCCCTTGCAGACCCGGGTTTGTTCCCTGGCACCCCATACGGTCCCCCAAAACCCGCCAGGTATGACCCCCAGTGCCAAGCCAGGGAGTCAGCCGGAACCCGTGCACGGCCCCAACGCTCCCAGTGCCTGTCTGCGCCCTATGCACCCTCTATCATTGGAAGCTTGTGCAGGTGTGTTTGAGACGCGACCACGTTTCCCTGCATTCCTTGGGCGTGTGAGTTGATTTGTGGTACTGCTGCTGCTGGTCTCAAGACACGACCTTTCGAGAACGCAGGTGCATCACCAGATTTCCAGGCACCATTTCCCCTCGGCATGTTGGTCTCAGCTGCACCTTAAGAGAAAGAACCTGGGGCTCGCTCGGGTTTTGGGCTGCTGTCACCCAGCTCCATGTGGGTTTGCTCACGTCTCTGGGCTTCATCCTGTGGAATCCAGGACTTTCCTGGGCTCCCCGATGGTCTCTCCCCACCCCAGTCATGAAGCAGGGAGGGGCTTGCATGGCCTTGTTTGGTGACAGGACACAGGCCTGCATGCCCCTGTGTGGTGACAGGACAGGGGCCTGCCCGGCCCTGTGTGGTGACAGGACTAGGGGTTCGCCTTCCATCCGAGCCATTGCAGGTCTGGGAGCAGCCTCTCTGCTCCCTTTCCCAGTCAGCAGTGCGGAAGCGTTGAGGAAGCGGCTTGGTCACCCCAGCTGAGGATAGGAGCTGTCTCAGTCACACCCAGGGTTGCTCCTGGCCCTGCGTGGGGGGGGCAAGGCCATCCCAAATGACAGACCCCAGACAGTTCGTTGCCACGGGCCCCACATCCGCCCGTGGATGCTGCATTCACGCCCTCTCTCCCGCCCTGAGCCACGACGGCCCCCGAGCCCGCATCACCTGGGGAGCCCCGAGTTCAGGACAGGAGGGACCCACACACCACCAGTTATGACCCTAGTGGCTGTTAAAGAGTAATTCCAAGGGCTGGAGCTATATACATTCGGAGGGCATTTTCCTTGCACGCATCTGACCCAGGTTCAATCCCCGGCATCCCATATGGTCCCCGAAGCATCACCAGAATAATTCCTGAGTGCAGAGCCAGGGTTATCCCCTGAGCCTCACCGGGTGGGAGTTGTTAGAGGTGTCTCTGTAGTAATACGCCGTTTTTCAAAATGAATGTTTTGTTTGGGTGCTCGGGGCTGGGCAGGGCCAGGCAGGAGCCGGCTTAGCTGTCCGCAGGCAGACACAGTTCCCTCTCTGAACAGTCACCTGTGCCCCTGAGCAGTTTGAAAGAGGCCCCCTAATGCTTTTCTTCCACTGAATCTTCCTCTCTGCTCTGCTCCAATGCGGAGTTTCTGGTCCTTTTCTGAGGACTCTTTGGACATCCCGACCATGATATTTTGGACTGAAGTGTGAGGCTGCACCCCAGACTTGGCAGAGACATCCTACGTGATCTTTGGGGATTTTATGCTCAATCTGGGCCAGGCTCTCTGGGAGGTCTCCCTCTCTACCCCGCCCTCAGTCTGCACCCCTCGTCCTCATGCCTCTGCAGTGCATGCCTGTTGGCTGCTGCCTTAGACAGGGTCAAAGATTCCAGGATGAGGGGCCGGAGCAATAGCACAGCAGGTAGGGCGTTTGCCTTGCATGCGGCCGATGCTGGTTCGATTCCCAGCATTCCATATGGTCCCCCGAGCACCACTAGGAGTAGTTCCTGAGTGCATGAGCCAGGAGTAACCCCAGTGCATTGCCGGGTGTGACCCAAAAAGAAAAAAAATAAAAAGAGAGTCCCAATGGGCACCAGCAGTGCCGCCCCATCAGGTGGAGTGCAGGTGAAGCGCGTTGCGTGATTTCCCTCCTCTGCTCTCTGCACTTGCTGGATGAAGGGATTGAGGCACAGGAGAGATCTTGAGGCCCCGCTGGGGACCATGTGTGCTCTGTCAGCCCTGCTGAACCACCCGGCTGGGCGGCGCGTGCGTGCTCTTTGCTCTTTCTGGGCCAAAGATGTTTCTTTTTGTCTGTGTGTTAAATGGACCTTGTGGCCCTTCTCCAAGACCGTGGCTGCCCTCCTGCTGTCCCCTGTGACACTCGCTGCTGTATGTGGGAGAGGCTGCCTGCCCTTCTACAAGCCCAGAGTGTTCTGCTGTGTGGTCATGCGGGCAGGCGGAGGCCAGCCTTTCCTCGCCCGCCCAGCAATGCTTGCCCCCAGTAGAGATGCTGCCTTGAGGCCTCGGTGCTGACTCACAGAGCCTGTGCCCACGTGCCTGGCCCTCTCCCACAGGAGTGCTACCTGGACAGCGACCAGACGGGCCTGTACCACGCGACCAGGGGCCTGATGAAGCTGCTGGCCTGTACGGGACCATCCCCTAGATCTTCGGCAAGGGCGAGTGCGCCAGGGTGAGCTGGGGCGGGGAGGGAGGCCTCTCTCCTGCGGGTGGGGTTTGGGGCTCCACCTCGCAGTGCTCTTGGCTCTGTGCTCGGGCCACCAAAATGAGTCTGTCTGCGTGCAAGGCGTGACCCCTGGCCCCTCTGCTGTCTCCCAGCCCTCTTTCCTTTTCTCTTTTCTGTTCTTTATCTTTTCTTTTCCATCCCTACTCTCCCTCCCTCTCTCGCCCTCTCCCTCCTCCCGCCCTCTCCATACCCTGCAGTGCTCGGGGCTCACTCCTGGCAGGGTTTGAGGGATCGTACGTGGTGCCAGGAATTGAACCTGTGTCAGCCACCTGCAAGGCAAGCATCCTACCCACCATACTGTCTCGGACCTATCTTGTTTTATTTTATTGTTCCCCTTTTTTCCGCCTTATTTTTAAATTTTGGATTGCCGGGCACCTTTTAGCTTCATTTTAAAATCCGCCCATTGCTAAAAAGTCTCTCCCTGATTCTGTACTTTGTTCCCAGCAAGTGGCCAATATGATGATCAGGATGAAGAGAGAGTTTACAGAAAGTCAGAATTCAATATTTCCTGATTTTGATAACCTCTTGTTGCTTGATTGGAATGTGGATTTATTAACACCACTTGCAACTCAGCCGACATACGAAGGACACATCGATGAAATTTATGGCATCCAGAACAGTAAGTGAAGTGACATCATTTACTAATAGGTTAGATGAGTAAAATCAATCTCAAAAGTGTCTGTTTTTAAAGGTGTGGCCTTTGTGGGTAAGTCTGAATACTTGAAAATGTCAGGCACTGACTTTCAGCCCAAGGTTAAAGCGAGCTCGAGCCAGGACACCATCGGGGAAACCGAGGCTAAGGCCTTGTGCAGAGGGCCATGCGGTGTATAGCCTCGCTGCTCGGGCCGCCCAAGGAGGCATGAGGAATAGAGCGTTTCTGAGGGGTGCCTGGGTCCGAGGTCAGGGGGGTTTGGCCCCGGATGTTAGATTCTGTAGCATTTCAGATCTGAGTGGGGGCTAGGAAGGCTCATGGGGCTAGTGCCAGGCGCACAGCCAGCGCTCGGTGCCATCCGCGCTCCTGCCTCGGCCAGTGAGCACTGAGCCGGGAGTAGCTCCTGCTGGGATACAGTCTGAGAAGTTTCCCACAGTCTGATTCGTTTCTTTTGTTAAGAACAGGGAGCCCCAGGCCACAAGAGGGGTAACTCCGGCGCCTTCAGGAGTGGCCCTGGCCGGGGGCTGGGGAGACAGCCCTGGGGATAGAGCCCGGGTCTGGAAGGACAGGGATGCAGCTAACTGCATGGGGTCTCTCTGCGGACACAGAGCCCTGCAGCTGCTGAGTGCTGGCCGAGTCCAGACAGTGCTGTCTGTCCAGTGTGCCAAGCTGGTTATTGCAGAGTGGATTGCGATGGCGTGTGTGTGCGTGTGTGTGTTCGTGTGTATTAGTGTGTATGTCACTGCAGTGGTGAATGCGTGGCTCAGTGACAGCGGCCACGGAAGCAAAACAGGACCACACATGGAGGCATTTCCACACAACAAAGCGTTTTTCTGCTCTTTCAGGATTATGGGGGTGTTTCCGGTTTGTTTTTTACCAGTTGTTCCGAAGGATAACTTCTTAAGTTGCTTCCTTCTGTGGGGACAGTCGTAAGCAGTGCCCAAGGGACTGTGGGGCTGATCTCGGTGATTTTCTGCTCTGTGGGGCCAGTCTGTGGCCCTGGAGCCACTGGGTTTGTGCCTGGCAGCAGCTGGGGGTGATGCCACACACACAGCCCCTCCCCAGACTCCTGCTCCAAGGTTTCACTGGTACGGGAGCACCCCGTGCGAGGGGTCCCTGCCTCCTGGTGCTTCTGCAAGTCCTTCGAGGAATCTAGCAGAGGTGCTAGGGTTTTGGGTGCAGAGGTGTCAGAGATGGGGCTCGTGGGGTGCCTCCGTGGGGAAGGAGTTTCGGGAGCTCACAGTCTCTTCACATCACACACTTACTTCTGATCAAACATTTAATTAAGGGAGAGGGCTGGAGTGATAGTACAGTGGGTAGGGCGTTTGCCTTGCACACGGCTCAGTCCGGGTTCAATTCCCAGAATCCCATATGGTGCCCTGAGCACCGCCAGGAGTAATTCCTGAGTGCAGAGCCAGGAGTGACTCCTGTGCATTGCTGGGTGTGACCCCCCCAAAAAGAAACCATTAAGAGAAATCTGAAAAACAAGGAGAAATTGGGCTTCCCCATAACCCCCCAGCTCTGCGCCCGTGGCTGGACCGAGGGCGATGGCAGGCCCGTGCAGGAGCTGCGTGCAGGCTGCCAGGGCCAGCGGCTGCCCCTCTGCTTTGAGCTGGAATGCGAGGTCTTGCCGACCTCGTGTATCTCAGCATGTGCTCAGGCCCCGAGTCCCGCGGCCACCATGGCGTGCTGTCTCCAGACGCTGGTGCCCGGGCTGTTCCGAGGGGCTTAGGATTTGGAAAGCATCCGAGAAGTCTTTTTCTTCCGTCGGTCACTTTCTCTCCCCACATTCTCTGAGGCAGGAGTTCTTCTTGTTGCTTTATGATTCTCAGCACCCACCCCACAGTGCTCAGGGCCCTCACGGGGCAGTGCTCAGAGGAACAGACAGCTGGACTTGAGCGTGCGCTGCCCCCGATGACCCGTCTCTCTGGACCCACAGCAGTGGAGCTGATTGTGTGTAGACACGTCGGGATTTGTGTTGAAAGTGGAGGAGATGATTTTTTGAAAGGAACCAACTTGGAGCTAGAGGCAGTGCAGCAGTTAGGGTGAGTTTGGTCCCCAGGACCGCATATGGTTCCCCCAGTCACTGCCAAGAATTAGCCCAGAGCACAGAGCCAGGAATAAGCCTTGAGCACTGACAGGTTTGGCCCAAAAATCAGAGAAAGGAAACAGAAAGGAAAGATGCCGTCGGAGCTGTCTCCTGCCCTCAAGCACACTTCCATGCTGAGATGATTCCTGGGATCTTGTTTTTTTTTTTTCTTTTTCTTTTTCTTTTTCTTTTTCTTTTTCGGAGAGTGTCTTCCCTGCATGGCAAAGCCTGGCAAGCTACCCATGACGTGTTCTATATGGCAAACAAAGTAACAAGTCTCAAAATGGAGACGTTACTGGACCCGCTTGAGCAAAATCGATGAACAATGGGAGGACAGTGACAGGGGTCACACTTGGCAATGCACAGGGGTAACTCCTGGTGCTGCACTCAGGAGTTACTCCTGGCAGTGCTCAGGAGGGCATATGGGATGCTGGGAATCGAACCTGGGTCTGCCCCGTGCAAGGCAAACACCCTCCCTGCTGTGCTATCACTCCTGCCCCATCCTGGGCTCCACTTGGCTTGTTGAAATGGCGGTATAGACGGCATGCACTTGCACGCGCCAGCAGGACAGACAGTGGGCCGCCCTGGGGCATGTTTCCTCGGGTGGCCCCATTCTGAGTTTGGTTAAGGCTGGCAGTGGCAGGAGGCGTCCCGCAGACCAGGCCAGGGAAGCCGTGCGTGAAAAGCGTGAGTGTCCTACGCAGGTGTGCATCTAGTGACTCAAAGCCCAGTGCTCTCCCCTGACAGGAAGTCTCTGGAGTCTCACTTGGGGTGTCCCCTCCCGTGCAGGTCATGTAAAGCTGCCACCCGAGAAATTCGTCCTGAAGAGGCAGGGTGATATGCAGGACCTGCCCACAGAGGCCAAGAAGCTGCCGCTGGACTCAGCCAAGGAGCTCTACGCCGAGATCCGAGACCGCAACTTCAACGCCGTGGGCGCTGTGCTCAGCAAGAAGGCCAAGGTCATCTTGGCCACCTTTGAGGTGACTGGGGCCTGGGGCCAGGCGGCAGGCGGGCTGTGCGTGCCCGGGGAAAGGTGGTGCCAGGCCCTCTCCTGGTGTCAGGTCCTTTGCCAGTCATCGTCTGCACTCCCGGTCCCTCCCTCCTTCTTCCCAGCCGCTGGATATAGGGAAAATTGAGCATGGCTGGAGTTCTTGCAGGCCGAGTGAGACCCCCCCCCCCGACGTGAGTAAGCACCACCTACAGGGTGCGACCCTCAGCCTCAGCGAGAAAGGGAGGGAAAGGGAAAATAAATACCCGAATGAAGGGGAAGATGCAAGGGGGAAACACATCAGCTTGATAATATCTTCTAAAAACAGCGTACCAGGGCCAGAGAGATAGTAAGGTGGGTAGGGCACTTGCCTTGCCCCTGGTAGACCCGGGTTCATTCCCAAGCACCCTATACGGGCCCCCAATCCCTGCCAGGTGTCACCCCCAGTGCCAAGCCAGGGAGTCAGCCGGAACCTGTGCATTGCCCCAATGCTCCCGGTGCCTGTCTGCGCCCTCTGCGCCCTCTGCCATTGGAAGCTTGTGCAGGTGTGTTTGAGATGCGACCGCGTTTCCCTGCTTTCTTGGGCATGTGAGTTGATTTGTGGTACTGCTGCTGCTGGTCTCAAGACACGACCTTTCGAGAACGCAGGTGCATCGCCAGATTTCCGGGCACCTTTCCCCCTCAGCATGTTGGTCTCAGCAGCACCTTAAGAGAAAGAACCCGGGCCTCGCTTGGGTTCTGGGCTGCTGTCACCCAGCTCCCTGTGGATTTGCCCATGTCTCTGAGCTTCAGCCTGTGGAATTCAAAACTTTCCTGGGCTCCCCCGATGGTCTCTCCTCACCCCAGTCAAGGAGCAGGGAGGTGCTTGCATGCCCTTGTGTGGTGACAGGACATGGGCCTGCCTGCCTCTGTTTGGTGACAGGACAGGGGCCTGCCCGACCCTGTGTGGTGACAGGACTCGGGGTTCACCTTCCATGCGAGTCATTGCAGGTCTTGGAGAGGCCTCTCTGCCCCTTCTTTTCCCAGTCAGCAGTGCAGAAGCGTTGAGGAAGCGGCTTAGTCACCACAGCTGAGGGTAGGGGCTGTCTCGATCACACCCACGGTCACTCCTGGTCCTGCGCGGGTGGCGTGGAGTCATCCCAACAGACAGACCCGAGACAGTTCGGAACCAAGGGCCCCACATCCCCCTGTGGATGCTGCATTCTTGTCTTCTCTCCCGCCCTGAGCCACGATGGCCCCCGAGCCTGCATCCCGGGGGTGTGGGGGGAAGTCACGGCTCAGCTCACCTGAGCTGCTCTCAGGGGCCCGCACTCCGGGTAGTCTGCTCGAGGGACCCCAGAACTTGGGCACCCTGGCGTGCGTCATGTGAGCAGTCAGATTGGGCTCAAGGTGCTGGGGGGCTCGCCCCGCCCGGGTGGAGATTGCCAAGGGCCCCGGCGCCCTCACCAAGGTCCATCTCTGAGGCTTCCTCGTGTGAATATGAGGGATCTTCCAGCAGTCACAGGACGGAGTCTGCTGCTTGTGTCCGACCCCCCCACACACACACACACAGACTGATTTTTATGTAACTTCCTCATAGAACGGTGTGCGGTGCTGCCCGAGGGGAACAAGGGGTCCTCAGTGTCCTAAAGGGGGAAAATGACCCAAATTGAGGTGTTTCCTGTGTGCCAGTGTCCCATCACGCCACAGCTCCCAGGGCTGGTGTTTCCCTGTCCAGAAGACGCTGGACAGACGTGAGCCAAAGCTCTAGCTGGGAGGAAGCATTTGTACCGCGGGATGAAGTAGAACTGCCTTTGAGTCAAGCTGACATTTTCAAGAAATACAAAACAGACTTTTTCCCCCCATTTTTAGTACCAGAGCAGATAACCCCCAAGGTTATTTGCTTCCCTGAAAGATATTTAGCTTGCCCTTTCAAAGTTCATTTAGAGCAGATCTTGGCGTTCAATCAGGGTTGGGTGGTAACTGAGGTCAGAGTGTTTGCTTATTTGTGGCCTTCTTTGTCTCTTAAGAGGAACCGTAGTTAGAGGCCACCAGAGAAAACAAAACACAAGCACCCGCTTCCTCCCAGCTTGGTTCCTCTGTTCTCAACCCCCGGCCATTTGTCTATGCATCTTCCCCAGAACAGGCGGGGGACAGAGGTAGAAGGAAGGTCTGAGAAGCCCCTGCATGGTGCTCCCCGAGCAGTGCTCCCCATCTTTGTGACTTCTGTTGAGGTTCTGAAATGAGTCATCAGGTGCTAGTGACAAATGTGTCATGTACGGCGTGACACAAAGGTGGAGTTTGTGCCATCAGTTCCCATGGTGGGAGAAGGTCGGGTTTTGGGGGTCAGTGGCAGGAGGATATGACCCATAGCATGTCAGATTTATCTCGGGTGGGGGAAAACGGGTCGTTTGGGGAGAAGTGTGCTTGGGGTACAGATTTGCCGCGTTTTTCTGGATTTCTCTCTCTCTCTCTCTCTTTTTTTATGTAGGAGTTCTGCTATTTATCCAGCCACTGATTAGCTGATTGAATTGTGCATGAACTCCATCTTACTTTTTTTTTCACTTTTTATGATTTTATTTATTGAATCACCATGAGAGCAGTTACAAAGCTTTCAGGTCTAAGTTTCGGTCATACAATGAAACACCCGTACCTTCACCAGTGCCCATACTCTACCCCAAACAACCTCAGTATATCCCCATCCCACACCCTCCCCTTACCAGTGGGGCAGATGATTTCCACATTACTCTCTCTCTACTTTGATGACATTCAATATTTTGACACCAGACCCACCATTATTATTTGAGATTTTGCCCCAACACTCAGATCTGCTGAAAAGGCAACAGGAGACAATTTGTTTCCTATTTCTGGTTATGAATAACACATGATGTTTCATGGCTGCAGTACTGGCCGCACAATTTTGAAATTCCGAAATTTGAACACTTAATTCTGGAGGGATTTCTGCCAAAACCTGCTGGGTTCCTGAGAATTGCTCCTGAGTCTCTGGGATCATGGTCATTAAGCAGCTTGATCAGGAACCAGAAAGGCCGTCTGTGGACAATGACTTGGGGTCTCTTGGGGACGGGGAGGACAGGACTTGCTCCACCACCATCCTGTGAGGCCCAACAAGTTTTGTCACTGAGGTCCCAAGCCTGACTGTCCAGTGGCCTCGGGAGGATGGCGGCCACCGGGCCACCAGAGGAAACAGGCCAAGGCATGAAACCGTGGGCCCAGCACAGCAGGGACCAGACGCATTTCTGCCAAAAGCCACTGGGTTTCGAGATTTGTTTCTGAGTCTCTGGGATCATGGCCATTAACAGTTCAATCAGGAACCAGAGAGGCCATGCCTCCAATGATCTAGCTGAGCCGGAGGTGATTTGTGGGTGTGTTTCCCACATACCTAACTTTTGACCGTTTACTTTCTTGGTAAACTTTGCCCCAAGTTTTTGGGGTCTGGCCAAAGGCACAACAGCAATTTGGGGGTATCTGCAAGTGTGTAGGCGCCATCAGGCTGCTGATGAACTCGCCTCACAGGTACAGTGTTTTTTGTTTGTTTGTTTGTGTTTTTATGTAGGAGTACTGCTATTTATTCAGCCACTGATTAGCTGATTGAATTGGGCATGAACTCCACTGTCAAAAACTACGCACGCAGAAGGTTGTGTGTTCGTGGGCTCTCTGGACGGCTCTATCTCACCGCCTGTGTTCAGTGCCCTAGAGCCACTGTGTGTGGCCTGCATCGGGATGGCTGTTGGCCAAGGCCAGATGAAGGAAGAGATGAGGGCAAGACTGGTTGATTTTTGTAGCAGTTTATTACAAGGAAGTTTATCCCATAGAAGAAATTTATGTTATGGTGGGCCTAGATTCTCTCAAGCACAAGTTCTCCTTGCTAGTCTCTTAGTAGTCCATCTTTCAGCCCTGCTCTTTCATTCTCCAGCTCCCTTCTAGTCTGGGCTGACACTCCACCCAGTCAGGTAGCCATATCAACATAAGAAAGCCCTTCCTGACTGCTCAAGGGCAAGATACCTCTTAAGGTGTTTTTCTCTTTTCCTCAGTCCAATAAACTATCAACTATTCCTGAGGTTGTGCAGGAGGAACAGAACAGTGTTATCCTACACTCCACCTTACTTTTTTTCCCATAATTTTCTTTCTTTCTTTCTTTCTTTCTTTCTTTCTTTCTTTCTTTCTTTCTTTCTTGCTTCCTTCCTTTCTTTCTTTCTTCTTATATTTATTTATTGAATCACTGTGGGAAAAGTTGCAAAGCTTTCAGATTTAAGTCTCAGTCATACAATGATCAAACACCGTTTTCTTCAACCTTCACCAGTACTCATTTTTCACCACCAAGAACCCCAATATACCCCACCTCCCACCCACCCAATGCCTATGAGGCAAATCATTTCTAATTAACTCTTCTCTACATTGATTACATTCATTATTTTGACAAAAGATGCACCATGATTGCTTAGAATTTACCCCCCAACAATCAGAATGGCTGAAAAGGCATTGTGAAATACATTGTTTTCTATATAAAGTTCGGAGTTCCAGGACTGGAGAGATAGCACAGGGGTAGGACGTTTGCCTTTCACGTGGCCAACCCGGGTTCGAGTCCCAGCATCCATATGTTCCCCTTAGCAATGCCAGGAGTAACTCCTGAGTGCAGAGCCAGGAGTAACTCCTGAGTGCTGAGCCAGGAGTAAACCCTGTGAGTGTAGAGCCAGGAATAACCCTTGTGCATCGCCAGGTGTGACCCAAAAAGCAAAAAAAAAAAATGTTTGGAATTCCTCCCCTCCAAACACAGGTGTGATGCCCTGTGTATCGTTGAGCAAGCAGAAGGAAAGCAAAGAGCTTGGGCCCAGTGGTTGATGCAGATTGCTGGGCCGGGCCGTCGATCAAGGGAGATTTGGGGATCTCTGGGACCCATCCTCGGGCCCAGTGCTCTCCGGGGACCCTAGCTTGGTCGTGTCCTACGAGTTGGGGGCGAGCCTGGCCTTTGGGCTCGCGTTGTGTTTGGACGGGCAGGTGGGGGTGTTCAGGGCCCAGCTGCTGACACCTGATCCCGCCCTGGCCAGGTGGGAGGACTGAGATTGGCGGCTGGCCCCTGAGATGCCCAAGATAACCAGTCAAGGAGATAACCAGAGTCAATCCCAGTCGAGCTGGGTGATAGGCTGAGATAATGCACAGAGCCACTGAGGCAGATCCTGTCTGGAGACACTCGGGCACCTTGATCGCAGGCAGGCCTGACCTGGCAGGGGGCGGGGGCGAGTTGGCACCAACCTCGTCGTTTCCGTGGCTCGGAGCTTCCGTGCCCTTCGGCTTGCTCTGCTGTAGTTTTGTTTTTGGGTCACACCTGGATGTGCTCCGGGGTCAATCTTGGCTCTGCACTCAGGACTTACTCCTGGACGTGCTCGGGGGTCCCTATGGGATGCCGGGATTGAACCCGGGTCAGTTGTGTGCAAGGCAAATGCCCTCCCCGCTATACTAGACTTCTGGCCCCAAGGCCCAAAACTTAAAGAAAAATCCTTGCTGGGGTTTCCCCGTCCCTGGCGTCCTGTCAGCCTCGTGGGTCTGCACACGGCTTGTGCGACTGCCTCGAGTGGCCAGTGACAAGGGCGCCCGCGTGTCCTCCTGCTCCCCAGGGCTGCTCTCTGCCGGTGCTCCTGGCCCTGCAGCCCTCAACTCCTGCCCTGTGTTCACTCCTCCTTTCTGTGGTGTCCCCCTCCTCTCTCGGTGGCCCTCCCCCTGGGGTCACCCCCCTTCCTGCGTGGTGCTGGGACAGCAGAGCTGCCGGGTTTGTGCCAGCTTTGTGCCAGGTGCACGGTTGACCCCGGGGGCTTGGATTCAGGACCTCCTGCTTGTGAGGCAGTGCTCAAAACCCCCTCTTGTACATTCCTCCCCTCCAAGCTGAAGGAACGGACTTGACCCACGTTCAGGCTCACACTTCTGCTTCCTGCTGAATCACTGCCGGCCACTAGGAGGCCAGGACCCGTGTGCCACGCCTGTGTGAAGCAGGGACGTTCCAGGGCGTGAGCCTGCTAGCGTCTTTGTCATGGACACACGTGGTCCCATCACAG